GAATACTTGCGGCTCAATAGTTGGAGCGAAGAATTCTTTGTATGCAGAAGACTTGCAGATCACCACTGAAGAGCAAGAATTCTCTATGTATTTCTATGTGTCTTCTTCCCGTTCTTCTTGGTCTTATGAAGACCCATCTATATGTTGTGAGCTAGGGTTTTGGGAGTATTTCGGTCTTCAAGTAATTTTAGAGAACCTTGGGCTTGAAGACCATGAGTTGGGCTCGTCTTGTCAACTTAATGGACTGACTCAAATGTAATTTGGACTTTATTTAAGTCATATATTTCAACTTAATATTAATCCGACTTTATTAATCAATAATTTGACTTGGTCAATATATCATGAATTTATGAATTAATCCAAAATTTAATATGAATTTATCAATAAAAAATTTACATTAATATTGACTTTTATGTTGTTTGTTCAGATCAAGCACTTAATTAACATCACATATCAAAAGTTGTAGCTAGCTTTATATAATAAAGGCATGATTTCATTACTTAATCAAATCTATCAAACAAGTTATGTTCGGTGACTACTCCTATCTGAACCACTCACTACTATATCACCCCAACAATAAACACCAAAAATATCCACTTGTAAAAGATCAAGTTGACGCTATAAGTATTGCAATGTGAAAAGCTCTATTTGGAGAAGTAGAAGGAACATATATCATACGTGTAAAATTCGAGAAAGTCCAACATGAATATTATAATGGACATTCAAGATGTAGTACATGAATTTAAAAAAAAAATATTGTATCAAGAAATAATCTAACAAATTGATAAATCACGAGTGTCATATAAAATGCCACATTAAAAGAAAATATAAAATGCCACATAACTTCCATCATCAGCATTATTGTGTCATCAATTTTTGGCATAAGATCTCAAATATTACCCAAAACATCAATCAAATAATTTTATGGTAGGTAGGGACATGTTACCAAGTAGGCTCTAAAATAATAGAATACTAAATAGCATATATATGCAGAGGTCAAAATATAGTATTCATCTTCAAGGAAACGCTAACTATGAATCTATCACAATAAAAGAATTATGCAAAGTGGCTGGTAAAAGTGGAAATCCAAATTCCGATAAAACCTATAGTTTGGTTCCACGTACACTAGAAATATATTCTAAGAGTAACCTTCATGCTCAAGTTAGAAAAATAAATAAGGTTGATTTCTTAAATAGTCGCTCAATTATGTTGAGTAATGTCAACATCCTGCTTATGTCAAGGTCCACGAGAGGTTGGATGGCCCGGGTCGGAGTCATAAACTCTAATATGAATGAAGTTGGGAGCATCGAACTTTGAGATTAATGATTGCTAAGTTGCCCATTCAACGTTGTTTGTCAAATTCTATTCCGATTCTTTCTTCTTTTTCCTATTTGGTACCTTATTCCTATCTTTCATCTCTTTTAAAGTGGTAATCTAATTTCATTTATCCTATAGATTAATAATATTAATTTATAAAGTTCTTTATCAACTTTAACATCAAGATTTTTAATTCGATGTTATTGGCCAAAGTATATATCCTACACAATAAGCTTGATTTCTTGCCCCCTTCCTTATCCTCTATGCATTAAAAATATTAAACTTTATATTATTTTTTTTTAAAATATTTACAAAATACTTAGCATGTATGTATGTTCTATACCTTAGAGATATAGTTTACGACTTTACGTGCTGTATAGTATATATAATAATAATTAACAATGTGATTTAAATATTTTTATTGTTGTGCAAACGTAATTGTGAATAGACCCACCATTCAATTTTTAAAATGGATTACTAATCTTTAACATTTCGAGAAATTCTTCATCAGTGATACTTGTGAATTACTTTTTTTTTCAATCTCTTTGACCTTATTTACCTTACTTTTCTATATATCAATAACTCAATCAAAATGTAATTTATCTTCAAGAATAAAATAAATTCTTATGCTTAATTAATTCTTTAGTTTGATTGATATCTATCTGAATTCGATCATTTATTCTTTTTTTAATACTTGGTTTATGCACAACTACAAAATATCAAATATTCTAATTAGATTAGATTAATATCAACGAAGAATATTGCAGTGTCATTTTTTAAAGAGACGAATCTTTTTTTTTTTTTACAAAGATGGATAAATTCCAATTTCCATTTGGGATAATCATGAAAAAGAGCTCTAAAGAATAAAGAGTCCATATTTGGCCCAATCCTTATCCAATAATGGGCCTAAATCCTAGTCCGAACTCATGTGACTATAAAAGGGTAAAAATTTCACGAGCAGCCGGTTTTAACAAAACTATTTAATTTGTATCCAATTTTTTAAAATTTTAGCATATATACCTACTTTAGGCTTGAGAAAATCAACTATGAAGTTATGTACTATTGAAATTTAGTTATTTTTATCGGATTTCTTTTTAAAATTTATACATATCAGTGAAGTGAAGTTCAAGAAATTGAACTTTAATTATTTATGACTGAATATATCTATGTACGACAAAAGTTCGATAAAAAAAAATGGCTAAAGTGAGGTACAATGACTGAATTTTAACTATATATAACTGAACTTCAAGCATGTATGATTGAAATTTAAGCAAGAATAATCGAAATTATGTAATAAATAACCAAAGATCAAGCAAACGTGATTGAAGTGAGTGGTGGAGTGGTAAGTAGTCTGATTCGAATTTCCTAATTACAAAATCACTTTTGTTAGGGAGTATTTTACCAACTCTGCAAAAATTAATGAAATTCAACCACATATGACTACAATTTAACCCTTTTTCCTAATATAAATTAGGGTTCAATTAATTGGCTACAATTTACCAAATATATTTATAAACATAGTATCAAATTGGGATGGAACTTGCTAATCATTGTAAACTAAGCCATTTTCTATCAATATTTTATCTGATTGGTACTTCCATGCCATTATCTCAACAACAACAAAAAAAAAACTTATAGAAAAATTGGGGAAAAGCTTTCACTTCACACTGACCTGTGGAGAAGTGAGAAGCTCAAGAAACACTGACCTGAACAAGTAAGAACTCTTTAGCTACTGAATTTATGTGCTCAATCTTTTTCTTCTTTTTTTCAGCTATGCATAAAACTATTTGTTGTGCATTTGCTTCTTGATATGGAACAACAATAACAACATAGTGTATGCAAACCTTACCCTGCCTCGTAGAGGTAGAGAGGTTGTTTCAGGTAGACTCCTGGCTTAAATAAAGCAATTTGAACAAGGAATACATGGCTGTTGTGGTTTATAAATGGATTAGTCTTTAAGTGGAAAACTACTACATTGGATTTCTAAATCTCCAAGTATAGAGATAAGAATGATGAAGTAGGGGTCTTTTCTCCGAATGGTAACTGCGGGAACAAAGTTAGAGTTAAGATAGTCCAAGGGTGACAAGTTAGTGTATTGTTTTCATCGAAACTATAGGCGAGTAATTGGTGAGTGTAACTGGAAATAGATGAGAGCAATAACCTTGGATTTGTTTATTTAGTTAGTAATAGTAAATTAGTGGATTTCCTCATATGTTGGGGCTTAGGAGCAGGGATTCTAACTGCTGTCCGATTTATTGTTTTACCCTTATTAAGATTGAATATTAGCACTTCAAATAGGGATTTTGCAACTCTTTGGGCTTATTGAGAATGGTTGATTATCGTTTTCTATGGTTGCTGATGCAGTCAAAAAGTTTCTTAATGTTATATAATAGGTGTAGTTAAGTTACGTCAGTAGGCTCATGTGGGCAGGATTTGCGAGTAATACTAGGATTAGTTCCAGTTAGCAAATGCTAGGTATAAGTGCTGCATCAGGATATGTCCTTGGGCCATCTCTAGTGCAACATGAAACGAGTTGGCTTAATCAGATTCAGATACTAACAAACAGATCCAATGCTATTTCCTTGTCTACGATGTGGAATCCAGTCATTTTGCAAATTGATTAAAATGATTCTTAAGATACATGTTTTAATATCTAGGAGTTGTAAGATAGGTTCTTAAAGGTTGGTAAGACTTCTACAAGACGTTCTATTTTTCCATAGAAATGTATTCGTTCAAGAAAGACCCCAAAAGAAGATAAAGTGGCGGACTAATAAAAAAATTGATTCATCATCTATAACATGTATCAATCTGGTGCTGGGTAATACCTATGATACTATGCAATTTGTGCGGCTAGATGTCCATCCAATATGCATGGGATTAGCCGCTTCAATGGGATCTTTTATCCTAGTAGGAGGAGAAGCAACTCTTCCAAAATCTCACTCAAAAGGTGCTAAGTTGGTATCCCATTCTAACTAAGGATTCTTGTGGTTCTAGAAGATCCAACTATAGGAGAACCAGGAATGGAGGGCTTTGCCAGAGACATGTCATGTGGACATACCATGTACGAATGACGATGGACAGACGAGTGAAAGACTACGTAGGGAATATGTTCTTTTGTGATGTTGAGAAAAAACTCAATTGTTGATAAAAATGAAGTTCCCATTTCTGATACAGTTGAGACACATCTCAATTTGAAACACTGGTGCATTTTGCTATTGGGTGGCAGGCTGGCAGCTATTCTGCCTATTCTTCAGTTGTACCAACTATTTGACACTGCACTTCTTTCCCTTTTGGTATTATTTGTGATCTTAGAGATGCAATTTGCATTTTCAGTTGTGCTTGTTGAGGAAATGAAGTCAACTGTTTCTCAGATACTAATACCTGAGGAATGACAAGGAATTCAAAGAAAATGCATAATCACTCCAAGCCTCATTCTAGAAATATGTTTTCTTATATTTGACCTTTAAACCAAGTGTTATTTGTCCTGCATAGGGTACATGATGAGTAAACACTGATAAAGAAGTCGGAAAAATGTGGGGAAAAAATAGAAGAGCTGATGTCCCTGTATTAAATTTGGAAAATGGGATAATTTCATGCCATAACTATTTTTTCTCTCCATTATCTTGTCTAGCTATTGCATGGAGTTTCTCTTATGTTAAGTGTCGATGCTTTTGATCTTTTAGAACAATGGAATTACAACACAGCCTAAGGCTGCAGCTTTTGGCCCCACCTTTACAAGAGAAATGCTTGAGAAGCTTCCCTTCAGTGTTTGGAATTGTCCCACAAAGGAGAAACAAACTGAGAAGTTCTACTCTCTCTTCCTTGAAATTGAATAATTTTGGTCCATCAGTGCCAAAATTTTGGAGGTCCCAATTAATGGTATGCACATTTCTCCACTTCTATTCTTATTGTCTGAACATCACCATTGCCGTTAATCTGTATTACATGTTCATATTCTTCAAGATCCCTGTTTATGACAATGGACTATTGAAACAGGTTCATGGTCTCAGACAAAAGGGATCAAAAGTTTCGAAGCTAGAAGAGTTGCTCAAATTTGGCAATGGAGAGGAAGATGATGGAGATGATTCTGAATCTGATTCTGATGGAGGTCATAAGAGGGACGATTACTTTCATATGGATGAGGATGAAAGGCGGGAATGGAGGAGGAAGATAAGAGATGTCATTAAAATGTCTCCTGATGTTGAGGAAGAGGTAGATCCTGTTGAGAGAAGACAAAAGATGCAAAAGCTTTTGGCTGATTACCCTCTTGTTGTTGATGAGGAAGACCCTGATTGGCCAGAAGATGCTGATGGGCGAGGTTTTAACTTGGATCAATTCTTCAATAAAGTCAGTATCAAGAATGTTAAGAAAGATGACGATGAAAATGATGACGACAATGAATTAGTATGGCAAGATGATGATTATATTCGTCCAGTTAAGGACTTGACCACTGCAGAGTGGGAGGAGACTGTCTATAAGGACATCAGTCCTCTTATTGTTCTTGTTCATAATCGCTACAAAAGGTGATCTCGCCACCCCTTTACATCTCTCATTAATGATGTAGCCTTTGACTTAGATATGAAATGCAGTTCTATCAGTTGTTAGTTAGGGGCACTTGCTTTCGCTGCTATTTTTGTCATGTTTCTGTTGTATTTCTTGTCCATGTGCATGAAAGTTAGAATCTACTTGCTTCTCTGAGAGTCTAGGTTATCTGCTGGCTGCATTCATGTGTCTTGCTTCTAGCCTTTTATTAAACAATCAAATTCTTATACTAAATGGTACTTTGCATATTCCCATCATTCACTAGGTTTCTTTAGTCTTCTCAGTACTAATATATACCTTTTGGAAATCTCTCCACCGATTCACAGTTAAACCAGGAAAAAGGTCATGTGTGCAATAAACTAAATTTAATTGGTTAGTTCTGTTAAATTTACAGTGCTCAAACAGTCCTTAAAAGCTTAGCGAAGAATGACACTAAGTTCTCTGTTTTTTCTGTTTTCGCTCTAATATTAGCTTCATAAATATCAATTATTTTGTGGAAGTGACCTGGTAAAACTTATTTTTTGAGAGTTTTTCCTTAAATTATTGAAAGACTTGGGATTCTAGAAACAACATTTCTTGAAGAGAGCAGCATAACTTGGTTCACAAATGACCATACATTTTTTATGATGACAAAATCTTTCCTGTATACTTCCTTCTCTTCCTTGAGAATTGAGATCATGTTCATTTGACAAAAAACAACTCTTTTCCTTTCTTTGAAGGGATTTTCCTATCATAAAAATTGGTTACTGGCTGAGCCTTAAAAACAGAAGCCTAAAGTAAGTTTTTGAGAAAGACATTTATGAAGGGTTGCAGTTATCTTATGAAAGCTGTGTATTACATGCAGGCCTAAGGAAAATGAAATGGTACGGGATGAATTGGAGAAGGCTATCCACATCATCTGGAATTGCAGGCTACCATCGCCAAGGGTTAGTTAAACCATTCAACTTTAACCAATTATATATTCCAAACACACTATTGATAGTCTATTTCCCTTTAGTGTGTAGCAATTGATGCTGTTGTTGAAGTTGACTTGGTGTCTGCTTTGAAAGTCTCTGTTTTTCCCGAGCTCATCTTCACTAAAGCAGGGAAAATCTTGTACCGTGAGAAAGGTTATAGTCTATCTAATGAAACACTGCTTTTGACTTTTGTGGCTCGTCTCAAATCCTCATTCTATATCTAACTTTATTCACTGTTATCCTCGAGCAGTGAGCCGAACAGCAGATGAGCTGTCCAAAATGATGGCGTTCTTCTACTATGGAGCTGCCAAGCCACCTTGTCTCAGTGGCATCGAGAATTCTCAAGAACTAATACCTACAGTCTGAGCAAGAAATTATCATGGTAGATGAGTCTTCAGATCTATTTAAACTATGTTTTGATAGCTTCACCGTATTCTGAATTGTCATGAACGTAAAACATATCCTACAGGTGCAACAATGAGTGTTGGCTGTATAATCGGTCACTAAGATGGCATCAGTGCTCTTGGTGGTGTTTTACCAGGTGAGAAGATGAGGTTCATTTTGCTCTCTTCAACATTTCAATAGGTGCATTGCTCGTTCCTTCAGTCCTTATGCTAGCGCAGCACCCTTATTCAGTATCAATACAGCAAACACTTATAATTGCAAGCAGCTTCAAGGTTGAAAATAGTAGCTACTGAAATGTCATGCTAGTCTATTGTTTGTTTGCGTATAATAGCTACATGGCGTCCCATTTGTGTAAATTCCCCCAACTTTTCGAGTACATAACTAGGTTAGGAAGTAAGGGGTTGTTTGGTTGCAGCTCGTTAGAGTTATGTATGGATTAGTTGTGCTGAATTTAGTTATTTCATCTTCTACCCTGCATAAAATAATGCCTAGATTGCCTCCTAACTTGTATAGTTCTGCAAGATTTTAAATTGGTAACCAAACAACATATTTGGTGTACTAAATTTTATACATAGCAACTATAATGCTACCAAACATAATACATACTGGTTATATTAGTTTTAATACATGAATAATTCACTTCCAAATCAGCAATCAAACGACCCCTATAAGTTGAGTAAAATTTCTATATGCTGTGGATGTCTAATGTCATTCATATTAATCAAGACCACTTGTATGTATATATGTTTATCTTTTTCCACTTTAATAAAAGCAGTACTTTTCTGAAATTAAGAAAAAAATATAAAAGCATATCCAATGTGTCGACAAGATATTAGGGCCTTTGAGTACCTAAAAGAATCATATCCATACCAAAAAGTTTGTCTCCAAACTAGACATATATGAAATCAACTTTACAACTAAGATATGTAGTCACTAAATCCATGCCACTAATTTCCATGTGGCAAAGAATCAAATTTATGTATTTAACTTCTATTACTATATTAATAACTAAATCACCAAGAATGATTTAGAACATTGAGACAAAAATTGCTAAGATTCAAGAATCTAAATTTTGCTTCAAATGTTAAGGCATGTTCTCTTCACTCTCATCCTCTTCGAGTTGTTATTAAAGATTGCAAATATTTGTTAGAAGTGGACAAAGACGATTTTAAACATATTTGGAAGGAGGCAAACCATTATGCTGATGTTGATTTTCTAGCGAATGAAAACATATAAAAAGAAATTGGTTAATTTGTGAAATCTTAACATTTTCCAATGTATCAAGAAAAAAAAAATCAACTACATTTTTGTCAAATCTTAAAAATACCCACTTTTGTTCAAGTCTAAAATTGCACCCATGTGGTTACCTTTTTATATGTGAACTCAATAGTTCACCCTATCTTAGACCTTAAATACAGATACCATATATTGAAGGTTAGAGAGAAATAATTATTTTTTCCACCGCGTATTAATAGAAAAATTATGTTGTAGAACATAATTTTTTCACTTATTTCCCATCAAATAAGCTCATAGAGAAAATGCTGAACACAATTAATTCTTATGAAATAGTGAAAAACCTTCTAATTTTTTTCGTATGAAAGTATTAGTATTTGTTCACCATTTTAATCAAAATATCAGTGGATATAGGCATATTTTAACATTCTTCAGAGAAAAATTTTAATTGAAAACTAGTGATTTTCTTAGTAGTGACGTATGTTTTTATGCTTACTGATTTTCCATGATTTCGATATGATAATAAAGTGAATAGGACGTCCATACCTTTCTTTTATTTAAGTCCTTTAAAGTGTTTGGAATATATTTTAGTAAATCTATTGGAAGAAGGTTAGTATAGTTGTTATCCAATGTGGCATACTAGACTAGCAACTAGTTACTTAGTAAACTAATACTCCATTGTTTAAGAGATTGTACTTATAAAGCCTTATAAAGTTCCATAGAACCTTTTATTTTGAGATAAAAAATTGCAATTAAGCATGTTCATTTAGTTTACAAAATATGTACAAGATAGATGGAAAATATATATTTTAGGAAAAAGACTCAAATATGTCATCAAACTTTAAGAAAAAGTTTATCTATATCATTTTCGTTTAAAAAAATATTCATTCATACCATTATTTTATTAACTTTATTTAAAATCCCCCCCCCCACCCCCCCCCCCCCACACACACCTCCTAGAAACGTGTTTCTTTTAAGTTGACGTGTGTAGCGAAATATATTTCCCTCATTCATACTATATGTGCCATTACAGTTTAATCAATCCTATAATGATGACAAAGGTATAATGATAAGTTAAATAATTAGTTTAATGGAGTGAATATATACATTTTTATTTAGTAAAATGTTATTGTATATTCACACATTTAATATATATTCATTGATATGTTATAAACATCTTGGATAAATTTTTAGCGACAATAAATATGCATATTAACAAAGAATGTTAAAGTATTACCGATATTAGTTTATAATTGTGATTAGATTCAATATCGCTATAGACTTTAACGATATTTACAAGAAATTTTAAAATATAATTATCATTAGTAATTGCCTCTTAAAAACATATTTAACGGCAATTAATATTCGAAGTTGTAGCATTAGTGCGCTGCACTCTCAACATGTTGAATCAGTACACGTTGCTAGCTTGTATGATGACGTCGCTCAAATGTATTAAGTATATTTCAACCAAAGTATTATGGTTCGGGAGAAATGATTTTCTAGCTTTTTTATATTTTATTAAAAGGTTTTATGGCTTTATTACAAGAGATCTTTAATTTTTATATATATACATAAGTGATGTGAAAAAATTATATTTTTTGTTTCAAATTATAAAAGGGCAAGATATCTTGACATATAATGCAATTTACTTGATCAAGTAGACGACTGAAGTTCATGTCGGTATAACATTATAATGTATGATTTGGTCTTAAGTTCATACAAATTTATCTTTTGGACTACGCTATATTGAGTCTCAAATTAAAGCACATGAACCATGTGAACTTGAGTTATATGTTATATAAAATTTCTCACTTTTCTCGTGTAGAATTTGCCCCGGGTATGATGTGAACCAAATCTTTGAAAATTAGTCAATCCTGCCTGATCCGCCGTGCAAACCACATCTTCAGGAGACGGCCAGCGTGCAAATTACTGATAAAGATTTTGTTGGTTTGCAAATTTATGAGAATTCAAGTACTAATGAGGAAGATATTTTTGTTGAAAAATAGGTGTCATGGGGGTGGAATCAAACATAGGCGACTATTTTCTTCCCCTTTTAAATAGTAGACCTATATATATATATATATAACTACTCCCTTTCATTTGGTTCCTCGAATCACAAAAGAAGCATTTATGTGAGAAATATAATTAGTGATTTTGAGCGAGTTTTCACTATGAACAATTGAAATAGCAATAACATATTTAATGTAATTTTTAAAGTGAAATATACGAAGCATATATAATTATAAGCATATCTTATTATTTTTACTTAATATGCAAAGCATGTAATTATAAGCAGATCTTATTATCTTTACATTTTTAAAGTAAAAAGGATGTTTTCTAATTTCTATAATTCCTCGGTTCTAATAGAGCATTTAAAGCAAATTTGAAAAATAAATATAGTAGTGAAAAAAAATAAAATATTGCAAATAACATATAAATTAAAAGAACAATACTATAAGGACACTTGTTTAGAATAAGTGATATTATATTGAGCTTTACATATTGTAAAATATGATACTTAGACATAACTTAATATTAAAAACTAGTTCATAAAATGAAAATTGTCTAAGAACATATAAAGAGTTCAAATGCACACCTTATTATCCTAAACACATATTTTTGAACTTAATTCAATAGGGTTTTTTCATGTAATGCCAAAATGATAGAAGTTAGTGATAAATTAGTGTATCTTGCATTATGATTACATTTTTTACCCAAAAAAAATCAACTTTTGTAAGAGGTTGAACAATTTTATGTCTAGCATTCTTCTATAAAGATAGATAATATTAAAGGTTCTCCACCGTACTATATCCACAAACAAAGTTAAAGAAAACTTTAGTCATCATGTTTATTGAGAAATGTCCAATCTTGAAAGAGAATATGTATGTGAACCACACACTTCCTTGTACATTTTTTTAAAATAAAAGGAGATTAAAAGCATAAAAAATATTGACAAGAATTGTATCATCAACAAGAGATAAACTATATTAGGAAAAAAGAAAAAACACTATGGTTTTGAAGAAATATCAACCCTACTTGGCAATGCTTTTTATACAAATATTATATGCAGGCATGGCTTTGTTCTCTAAAGCTTCTATCTCCAATGGCATGAACCCTTACGTATTTGTTGTTTATCGACAAGCATTTGCAACCCTATCCTTGGCTCCCTTCGCGATTTTCCTCGAAAGGTCTTCAAATTTTCATATTCTATATGTATATATATAGCTAATAGATATATATACACATTTGAATCTTAGGCTAATATGTTTGTTATGTTCTTTGATTTGCAGTAGCAAGACAACTTCTCTTTCATTCACCTTACTAGTGAAGATATTCTTTATATCCTTATTTGGGTATGAATCGATCTCTTTTCTTATTGTCTATATATATGCATGCATGATGAGGTATAAAAATGTAGAGCCGTCAATATGGGCTAGGCTCGTTGGGCCGGTCTGGCCTAACTCGTGATATGATAGGGCTGGACTACGATTTTTGGAGCCATTTAAAATAAAAATTCCCTAAAATTTCTAGGGAATCACTACATAAGTCATAGTCTATGGAATATTGTCATAGTTTTTGTATTTTATTATGTTCATTGAAAAACAATTAGGTTAATATTTCTATTTAGCTATTTATGCTTTTACTTGAAATTAAACTTAATAAATATTATTAAGATAATTTTATTTGTGTATTTGATTAACAAATAGTAACACTAACACTATGTAATATTGTCTTGTCGATATTTATGATAATATTATTAAATTATAATTTAATTTAAAAAATTATTAAAAAAATTATTTTAACAAAAGAGGGTTGGCCCGGAAAAGCCCGTAGCCCATGTACTTGTGGGCTGGACCGACCATTTTCTGGCTCACACAAAAAATGGGCTAGCCCGCCTGGCCAGTCAAATTTCAAAGCCTGTATGGGTTGGCCCGGATGGAGTAGGCCAGCCCATATTGACAGCTCTAGTAAAATGTGTAGCATCCACAAGAGTTGTGTAAAATTGAGTCATCAGTTGATTCAGAATGAACGTTATCTTATTATATGTATATATTTCACATATTCTTTATATATATATATATATAGTTTATGTTGAAAGTAATGGATTCAGTTGAACTCACAGGATCAAAAGGATCAGATGTACGTATATTCTCCTCTAAGTGTTCTATATATAGAAGTTATAATACTTACACTAATAGTATTAAAACTTTAAACTATGGTTGTTGGGACTAGATTTTTTGTTGACCAAGTTGTGTTATAAATATGTGAAATAAATTTTCAGGATTACCTTGAGCTTGGATCTATGCTATATTTCATTAAGTTACATATCGGCAACATTTGCATCTGCAAGCACTAACACAATCCCTGTTATTACCTTCATTTTGGCTTTTTGCTTCGGGTACGTACGTAATTTTTAGAAAATTTATTAATTTATGGAGCGACCTGAACAATGAGAATTCATATGATCGACTTCAATTGAGAATTTGTGTTGTTGTTATGAAATATTAATTGTGTACTTTTTTTCATGATATTTAAGGATGGAGAGCATTTGTTACAAGCAAAGGCATGGAATAGCTAAGATTATGGGTGCAATTGTGTGTGCTGCTGGGGCTTTAATATATGCTTTTGTAAATGGACCTCCTCTATATCTAGAAAGCCACAAAAAAGTTGATTATCAAACTTCAATTGGCACCTCTAAAGGGGAATGGATTAAAGGTTCTCTCATCATGTTTTTAGCCAACACAATGTGGTCACTGTGGCTTATTCTCCAGGTTTATTCCTACACTTATCTACCACCCAAGAGAAAAGTTCCGATCATAAATTTCAAAAGTCTTTTTTTTTCTTTGTTAAACTTTATGTCTGGTCAAATACTGATATATAAATTGAGACAAAGGAAACGATTAAACACATACATTGGGACCATAAATGTGTTCTTTTTAACTTGGTCTCAACATCTATGTCTTTCAACTTTAGATGTGTACAAGTAAACACTTAAACTTGTATAAAATTGAACAAGTAGATCGACACACACGCACATGCACCCTATGTGGTGTCTCACAAGAATTGTCACATAGGAAGTGTGTGCTTACTTGTTTTTCTTGTACACATCTAAAATTGAAGGACATAGATATATATATATGAGCTGAGTCAAAGTTAAAGTGTATGTTTATGTTCTATGCCTTATAGAAAATTGTGGTTATAAATATAACTAAAGGAAATGACATATTTATGTAGTTAACTTAACTACTTAATAGACAAGCGAGGACACACACAAAAAAAAAAAGTGTCTAACTGAAATCTTCATTAGCAGTTGAAGCGTTCTAATGAAACCAAACATAATTTGAGTATCTAAATGAAATGGAAATATCCTAACAAGATTGATTATGTAATAATAAAATAAGCCTATAATCAATTCATAGAACTTAAAACTAGCTAGTATGAACCATATATTGTGGCACATTATGCTAAAAATTAAAGTCTCATTCTATATGAAATTAAAATATAGCTTAATTTATTTTGTAACAGGGTCCAATTATGAAAGAATATCCAGCAAAATTAAGGCTTACAACTCTTCAATGTTTCTTTAGCTGCATTCAATCAGCAATTTGGGCTATTTCAGTAAAGAGGGACATTGCTGCATGGAAATTAGGTTTCAATTTCAATCTTCTCGCAGTGGCTTATTGTGTAAGAACATTTAATTTAATTTAATTTAATTCCAATTTTTTTTAAAAAACAATATTTTTTTTATATGATTTATACTCAATTTTATTAAAAATTGACAGGGTGTGATGGTCACTGGGGTGTCATATTGGCTAATAGCATGGGTAATTGACATAAAAGGACCAGTTTTTACTGCTATATTTACTCCAGTATCTCTAATATTTACTGCCTTCTTTTCATCTATCTTTTGGAAGGAGACTCCTCACTTGGGAAGGTATTTATCTACGTCTTTTATTGTTTAACTACAAAATTAGTCTATCGTGAATTCCTATTTCTGTTAGCAGTGTTTTATCAACCAAACGTTACTTTGGAGAAATTTTTTGTTTTTTTGTATAACTTGAAAAAGCTCTCTAAAGTGATATTTCAGTTGATCGAACTTCCGCAAGTAGGATTGAAAAAAAAAAGAGGTCCATTTCAAGGGGGTGTGAGAAAAAAAGTCAAAATTTTTCCTCCTGCTTTCTTTAGACAAATGTCATTATTGAGTTATAGAAAAAATGATGAATTCCTCTATTTAAGTCATTATAAGAGAATTCACAGTTTGGGAAAGAAATAGCTAGTCTAAAAATTTAATATTTTATCCCCTATACTATAAGTAGCACTAATTTTATAATTAAATGGTTTGCTAATATTGACAGTGTTTGTGGAGCAATATTGCTAGTGATGGGACTTTATGGTGTTTTGTGGGGTAAACAAAAAGAAGCAAAATGCAAAAAGACAAGTCAATGCAATGGAGAAATTACCAACATATAGCAAAGGGAAATGAATGGATATGCATTATTAAGATAATAATAATAATTAATAATTGTAGAAATCAAAGTTCTCTTTTGTGTTATTTTTTCACTGTTCAAATGAGTGGTAATTGTTGATTCTATTTTGGTTTTGTACTATGATAATTACAAGCACTAGAAAATATTATGTGTAATGTTTTTAGGGATAAGAAATCAATTTAAGTTTTGGTTTGGTTAATGTATGAGTGGTTGGTTTGAGCTCTATTAAGTATAAAGTTTTGGTTTAAAATTTTAATTTTTTTTAATATTACTCATAGTCTAATATACATACATTGTTAGAAGTTCTATTATTGGTGAATAATAGATTAAAACGAGATAATCTTTTTATTCAACACTTCACTAAAAACAATATCACGAAAATTACGCTTGCGATATATTGAGAGAAAATATTTACGTCAAGTAATCTTATATAAAATATTATATGTACATAGGAGTGGCAAATGAGCGGATCGAGTCGAATATGAGTCGATAAAAAACGAGTTAAATAATAATGGATAAAATATTGTACTCGACTCATATTTAAAATGGGTAAAAACGAGTTACCCAATGGATACCCATATTTACCCATATTATTATAGAGATCATGTTAAAAGCTTCAAAAGCAAAAAATACTCTTCATGTGACATCTTGCAAGTTGATAACTAGGAAGAAGCTTAAAAATTGGAAATAGTCATTTTTGGAAAGACTTTTTAAAATCTGGAAAATTTGGTTAAGTATGGGAAAAAGGTGAGTTTTTGGCCAACTTTGAATAGTCATAACTCCTATCTCAGGGTGAGTTAGGTGTAGTTCCAGTTATGTTTGAAAATCTCTTGGAATGATCTTTCCAACGCCGCCGAGTTTGCTCGATTTCAAGTTCGTATGAGTAAGTTATGCCCTTTGGAAGTTGGGCTGTTGGCAGGGCAGTTAACCCCATTTTGTAAGGGTATTTCGGTCTTTTCCCTAGCCTTTTATTTTGGTCATATTAAGGTGTTAGACTGATTTTAAATCAGTTTTTCCTTTTTTTTTTAAAGAATGAGAGTAAGGGTTTGTGAGTGAAGAGGAGGAGAAAGAGAAGAGCAAGCAAGGATTTAATCGTGGATATCGACTGGGGGTGATCCCTATTAAGGTATGTGAGATCATAGTATTGGGTTGGTCCCTTCCCCCACACGCCAAACTCGTTTTAATTCCGAGAAAAGATTGGTTGTGTTTGTTGGAGTTGTTGGTTGTGTTGTTGAAGTTCCTTGTTGTCTTGATACATGTTTCCGGTTGTAATTTCGAGTTGAATCCATTGTATCTTAAGGAGATTTATGATTTTAAGTATTTGGGGCTGGAAACTTTGAAGTTAAGATGGTTTAGAGTTGGTAGCGTGATGGAGAAAAGTTGGGCAACTTGCATGAAACAAGTCTGCGTCGCGGACTTGTTCCCTCTGTGAACAAATCTGCTCCGTGTCACGGACAGGACGCGGACTTCACTGTTTCAAAAATTAAATTTTGTAATTTTTCTTAAGTTTAGCTGTCCTAAATCATTCCTAAATAGCATGAGGTCTTTCCAAACACAAATCATGAATCCTTGAATCCATAATTCAATTCAAGAAAGTTAGGATCAAAGTCGAGTCAAGTAAAAAATATAGAGTTTCAAGTCAAGTAAAGAGTATAGAGTTTCAAGTCAAGTAAAGAGTATCGAGTTTCAAGTTAAGCCAAGAGTATAGAGTCAAGTTCATTTCTCAAAAGTCATTAGGGAACTAAGTATTTCCAAAGAAGTTTTTAAATGTTTTCACATTTGAGCAAGAAAGGGAACATCGATTCCAAAAGAGATTTTAAGCTAAGCTTTGAGCAATTATCTCAAACTAAAGAAAGATGTGTTTAAAACACTTATGAGCCAAAGTATTTTTGGTAGTAGTATTGAGCATCGAATTGGGGAAGCGAGTTCATTTAACTCAACTCTCCATAAGAACCATGTAGCCAAACATGGGACTTAACGGGTCATTCTTTTTAGATGATCACGTAAGATTAAGCCAGTGGATCCACTAAGTAAAGTAAGGTCTTATATCACGACAAGGTATAGGATGGTCCTTGGGCAACGTGAGGTAAAACGTTGTATCATCACTAGAGCTCATAGTGGTGGTTGTCGGTTAAAGAATCTCCCACAAAAGTTATACTACTTTTATATAAGTAAAGTGGAATTTGTTATTGTTTTATCATTAACGAGCTAAGTTGTTTGCACTGTTTTACAAGCTATTTATATATTGCATGTGTCTTATTGTTTTATATTGAGTTCGGTTATTCATGAGTCGAACAGAGCCAAGGTAAGTGTTCTCTTGTACTCCTTTCAAGCTTAAGTTGTTGTTTAGCTTTCCAGTTTGCATACTCGTACATTCAATGTACTGATGTCAGTTGGCCTGCATCTTATTATGATGTAGACACAGGTACCCAGGATTAGCATCCAGCGCACCGTTGATCCAGCTGAGCACTCCAGAGTCAGTGGTGACCTTCCTTGCCTTTCGGAGGACCCTGTTATTTTGTGTTCTTAGTTTTGGTTTTATTAGGATGTTGCGGGTCTGTCCCAATATCCATCTCAGTATTTTAGAGGCTTCATAGATAGTCAGTCAGTTAGTATTGAGTCTCTCATCTATGTATATATGTAAATATTCTATTTTGAGACGAGTTGCCTTTTGGCATGTTATGCATCAGTTAGGTTGTTTTATAACCTTTCATTGCATTGAGTTATTCTGTTGAGTTAAGTTTCCACTGAGTTAAGAAAGACAGGCCAAGGGTTCTCTTGGGGGCCAGCAATGGTCTTCGAGTGCTGACCACGTCCAAGGTGTAGGCTCGGGGTGTGACACTTCACCCCCACCCCCAGAAAAAAATACTTAGAACTTTTTAAATTTAACCTACCCACCCCCACCCCCAACTCCAACACCTCAAAAATTATTATTTTTTTACTACTCCGATCCCCCTTCCCCCATCCACCAACCCACCCCCCAACGCCTAAAAAAAAAATCATTTGTTTTTTTAAAAGAAATTAAATTTATTTTTTACTACTTTGATCACCCCACCATCACTACCCCCTCCTTCCAGCCCCCCACCCACCCCAACCCCAACGCCTAAAAAAATAAATTTATTTTTTTATTTGTTTTTTTTAAGAAATGAAATTTATTTTTTACTACTCTGATCACCCCCCCCCCTCCCCACCACCACTACCCACCAACCCCCAACCCCAGTACCTAAAAAATTAAATTTATTTTTTACTACTTTGAAAACCATTACTACCCCCTCCCCCCCCTACTCACCCAGCCAGCCAGTCAGCCCCTTCCAAAAAAAATTGTTTTTCTATAAAAAAAAATTGATTGTTTCCCTTATCCCACCTATTCCTATTCCGACCTCCTACACCTTAAAAAAATATTAATGTCACTTTTATTTCTTTTATATATGAGGCTCTTTTACCCATTTTAAAATGGGTAATATGAGTTTGACTCGTTTTTTACCCATTTTAACATGAGTTGGGTACCCAACTCATTTAAGATGGATAATATGAATAGGTACCCATATAAATTATCCATTTTGTCATCCCTACATGTACATAAGCACCTCTTATCACTACTAAAAATTACTATTTTCCTATTGAATTTATGATTGAAAAATGTTCAATGGCTACTTTCACTGATATTTTGATTGAATTGGTGTGAAAAGAAAAAAAAATAGTATAGTAAATATTTTATATGAAAAAATTAGGAAGTTTCTCAATACTTCATTGAGAATTTGTTTTCCATCATGCATTTTTTTCAGTGAGTTTATTGGAAAAAAATGGGAAAGCACAAATTTTTCGGTGATTCATGGGTGGATTAAATCTTTTTTCCTAGTAGTTTATATTTTTATACAAGTTATGTTGACGCATTGTGTATAATAATTTTCCCCCAAATATAATAGTATACTCGTATAATATTCTATATTAAATTACATGATGTAATATTTTATGTTAGACGATATATTTTTGAAAATTTCCCCTAAAACTATACATGCATAATACACTTTGGAGTAAACTAAAGAAAAAGAATCACAAAAAGGAAAAAAGTTGGACCAAAGTGTAAATAAAATGAAATTTTTAAAAAATAAATTGGAAGTCGGAATTTTGAAAATCAATTTGATTTCTATTTGGGTCAAAAAACCATTTGCATTGTATTCTAAGGACCAGCCCAATTGCCTTATATCGGAGGGGGGGGGGGGGGGAATCACCTGTATATACCATAAAAAATTACTCATATTTATGAAATATAATAACAAGAATTTTCAGTTTTCAAAATGATATAGGAGGTTTTTTTTATAATTAAAACATATACAAAATTTTGGTCAAGGCTTGCATTCACATAAAATTTCGTGTATGAAAGCTATATAAAATTGATATTAAATATGTATATCTCTACCAAATTTATATTCTTGTCCCACCTAAAAAAAACAAGAAAAAAGGTGAAAACTATAAACAATATATATTCAAGTTTTTTGTTTTACAAAAAAAGAAACGAGCAATTAGTAGATACTCTCTCTAGTCCATATTAAGTGAATTGTTGAAGTATGACACATCTTTTAGAAAAAATATTTGAGGACATAAATTAAAGGTTACTTTTCATTATTACACGTTTGATTGTTTCCAAACTGGTCTCTTAGAAAATATAAAGTAGTTAAGAATCTAATTAAATGAAGGTAATAAATATTTTAAAAAAAGTTTTAATAACGAACTTTAAATGATTCATTTTGGTTTGAACTAAAAAAATCTCAATAATTCACTTCGAAGCAGAGTGAGTATATTACTAACCTTGAAAGATGTTTTAGTTCATCCAAATGTATAGCTTGGAGCATGTTCAAATCCATATCCAACTTAGCAAAGCTCAAGTAGAATGGGGTTAAAACATTCTGATTGTTCATACACATTATCTATGAACCATCTTGCCTATAGTCTCTGCACCTTCCAATGTAGTGGCATTTCCAAAGCATGGCTCACTTTGAATTGCCTATAGTCTCATGATCATCGTCCTCCATTTGATTTGTCAATAAATTTCATTTAAACATTTGAATTATAGTTGGTA